TCCTGCAAATTTACTTGTGGATTTACCTGCAGAATATTTTCCCACATGTATTCCGTAGGAAAATCCGCAGGTAATGTCAAATCTGCAGGAAAATCCGCAGGTAATTGAAAAAGTTTGAAAAATATATAGTAGGCGCCAATTCAAGTGGCGCCTCCTCTTTAATTCACTTTTTTTGGAAACATGGTTATTTGTGTAATTTTCTCCAAAATATAGTTATTTGTGTTTTTTTTCAAAACATGGTTAGTGCTAAAAAATATTCGAAAAAAGCTATCAAAAAACAATATAAAAGTGTTGAGTTAAGGTTAGCCGTTGGAATAATGAGTAGATGAGTGGAAATTAATATATATTTGTCGCAATACTGTAACAAATCCTTTATCATAATTTATAGTTTCAAGCAGATGGATTTTATTTGTGTCAAATTAATTATTTAGACTGGAAATTGTGTAATTATGTTGATATTATTTTTAGGTCGGCTAAATTATTAATCTTTATTAATAATAAGGTAGTGTTAGGTATATGCAATTTACTGGTTTATCAGTATCACTTTCATATATTTATTAGCTTACTTAGACACGAAGTAAATACAAAAAAATGAATTTTATGTTTAATTAAGAATTGTCATGTTCAACATGCATTGATCATGTTTTAGGTTGAAAGATAGATAAATAGAGTAAAAAGGATCAAATGTCGGGCCAAACAAAGTATCTGACCCAAAGACCTATATGCCAAGCCAGGACAAATTTGTTGGGAAAATTAAAGCTCAATCAGTGAATCTAAGGCAAACTGAATGGCTAGAAACAAAGAGCAATTCGCTGGGTGAATATAAGTTTTATAAATGTGTAATTAAGCATCGGATGATCTCGCTCAATAAGCGGGTAAGGAAGAATTCTAATCAATTATAATTCACATCCAACAACACTTTCCTATTTTGCTAGTTCATAAGTGATTATGGCTATAGTCTAATTTATTATGATGCGGGCCCGACCCAAAAAAATCATCCTTTCTAGGATAAATATTTTACTATGAAAGGATGACTTGTGAGCATTTAAAAAAACATAAGAAATATCAAAAGAAACCACTACTTTACTCATTCTTTTGCTCTTCTAAACTACACATTCACCTAAATACTATTATAGTGTTGAGATAACAAACACTTGAGTAGAAGTATCACGTGTAAACCATTATTGATTTGTAATTGTAACAAAAGAATGTTGTTTTATTGACTATGATATATTGATATAAAGTTGCAAGCAGAACTTGAGATAACAGCTAGGTGTAATAATGTTATGGGTTGATCCAATTTTAAAAGCTTTATGATAGTGGAAATCTCAAAGGTTAAATCCTAGGGATTAGACGTAAATCTCGTGGTTTTGGACCAAATACATATAAAATCCAATGTGATCCTCTCTCTCTCTCTCTCTCTCTCTCTCTCTCTCTCTCTCTCTCTCTCTCTCTCTCTCTCTCTCTCCTCTCTCTCTCTCGCTCTCTCTCTCTCTCTCTCTCTCTCTCTCTCTCTCTCTCTCTCTCTCTCTCTCTCTCTCTCTCTCTCTCTCTCTCTCTCTCTCTCTCTCTCTCTCTCTCTCTCTCTCTCTCTCTCTCTCTCTCTCTCTCTCTCTCTCTCTCTCTCTCTCTCTCTCTCTCCCCCTCCCTCCCTTCCTTTAAAAATCAACCTCAAAGTT